TATAATCAAGGCATTCTTGCAACGCAAGTGGAAATTCACTATGTTTACCTGGGCTTTCCGAGGATGCTTCATCTGAATCGCATAGTGTCACCCTGCCATATGAAAAAGACAAGAGAAAAATTCTTATTCACTAGAGTTTGGCAATTTTACTCTAGTTACTACAATTTTTCCATTGTTGATACTCATTGTAGCTTCATTCAACTCCACACTTTTTTACTTGATTAGAGATGTAAAGTTTTGTGTCATGTTCTAGAATTTTGTCTATAGTTACAAAACCACAAGCTTATCCATAAATGGATTGATATTACTATAAACAATTAAAGAAAACAACTTGAAAGACGATCAATAGGGTTCAAATATAGAGGGAAATGGCTCATGAATAAAAATACATTTTATTTTTCAAATGTATTTATTTTTTCAATTGGTTAAAGGTTTTGGGATATTTGGGGTTAAGTGTCTCTCGGTTGGGTGACTTCCCGGGAATTTCAAATTTAAGAGTTTATAATTACTTCAATGCAAAGGTATAATTTCAACTTCTTTCTCTTCCTTTCAGCTTCTTTTCTTTGCTTTTCAATATGTAGTGAGTGAAATGCTTTCACTCATAAGTTTTTCATAGATGAGTGAATAAAACTTAATTAACTCTTATAACCTATTTTTCCAAAGTTACATTTAAGATGGCTAAGTGAGCAGTGTGACGTGCTCTTACAACCAAGTGAATAGTTTCTTAACTTATGCTAATCAAAATTTGCTCACAGATATAATATAAAATAGGTGGGGATGCAATAAATTTATTCATTTCTCTCCTTGAGAAAAATCATTCTTTTACTTCTTGTTAAATATATAGTTTTTGATTGTGATGTTCTTCACTTTTTTTGAAGGGTGCAACATATACTCCCTTAGTCAAAGATGCAGTTGTTGATTCCATGTTATAGGTAAAAATTTGATAATTAAAATTGTTGCAAGTTTCAATATTAATTTTGGGACCAACTTCTAAAGTTTTACCAAGATTATTTTAAATTAATAAATTCAAAACTTTTTCTTGACAATCATGAGAAGTCAACACTTCAAGTTAGAAATATCACCAAAGTTAACTTTAACCATATAATATCCAATCTCATTACAACCAAAATGTGGCTTAGATTATTCAATAGCAATCCAAACACTTAACCATATTCATCACTTGGAGATGTAATGATAATTATCAATAGTTTGCTTTAGATATGGCTTTCCAAGGAATTGTTCTCCTAAAAAACAATGGCTTACTACTTTTATTCACAATCTTGAAAATTATGCCTTTTATAGGAAACGATGTAAATACAACATACATGATACTTGGAACCATATAATATCCAATCTCATTACAACCAAAATGTGGCTAAAATTATTCATTAGCAATCCAAACACTTAACCATATTCATCACTTGGAGATGTAATGATAATTATCAACAGCTTGCTTTAGATATTGCTTTCCAAGGAATTGTTCTCCTAAAAAACAATGGCTTACTACTTTTATTCACAATCTTGAAAATTATGGCTTTTATAGGAAACGATGTAAATACAACATACATGATACTTGGAAACTACAAATTTGAAAGATAAGTTTTTTCTCAAAACTCTTTAGATATTATTTATGGTTTTCTTGGAGAAATGTCATACAAGTATGTATCACCTTTGCAAAATATGCAAATCTACAGTAATAACATCCTCTATTTATAATACTTATTTTGAGAATGTAGTCTCAACTCATCTCCAACATTTCAAATGCAACCACTTATCCTATTATTCTTGTGATCACTACTCTTTGTTGATATCTTGGCTTTCAAAGATAATATATAAATCTCAAGTGGTATTTGGTTTGGATATTTTAGTTAGTCCAAAGGTGCTACTCTCACTCTTATTACTTTTGGAGCATAAAATCCAAGTATTCTTTCTCTTGCTTTTTTATCTTTGTAATACAAACATTGAATCTAAAATTAAGTGGTCACTTGGTAAATACTTAGTACCACAAGGCATTCATAAATGTTTCCATATTAGATATGAAAATGAAATGCAATCCATTGTTGATATTTAAGGAGAAGCTATCAATTTTACATAAGGTTACTAACAACTTTGGTGGTATGGTAAACAACTTCTTGCGAGTGAGATTTGTAGAATGTAAGTTTTGTAAATGATGCATAGCTGAAAATAATTATAAGAAAAGCTACAATTTTTTTATACCCCTGGCAGCGGTTAGGTGAATTTCTTTTGTGTTTGGATTGTTTTACTCAACTTACTTGTACAAGCACTAACAAAGCTCTCCTTCAAAAGCAAAAGAGGAAACTCTTGAGATTGTCCAACTGTAAAGAGCAACAAAATGAACTATAAATTTATAATAACATTTTGCCCAATCTCGACAAAACCATTAATAAATCAAAGTTTTAGCCAAATGTTCATCTATACTTGATAATTTAACTCCACTCAATCAATACATAAAGCCCTAAGTTGGACAATGTATTTTTTATCAAGCTGGTCCTCTTTAACAAGTTCCATATATAAATAATATAGTGACTTACCCTTTCTTCTTTTGTAAGTTATTGTCTAAAAAGAGTTTATTTCAAATTCACTTATATCTTTCTCTTGAGAAATTACTTAGCTTGGCATAAAATATTAGCAACCCAATACTAAATACTAGCCTAAAAATTTGAGAAAAACATATAAACTAGTATATTAATGATAATTTGAAGCTTTTTCTTGCCAATTTACAAGGTATAATAAATGATTGAGATGTTGGTTCTCTAGACAAGGATGAGATAAAGATTGGGAGTGAGCTTATGCAAACATCTCTAAGCCAAACTTCTTCATTTGGCTCATAAACTTGGTTGAGTTTGCAAACGTTTTGATACAGTTTATTTTTGAATTTTTGCTTGTTATGGTAGTGGTGATCGCAACTATCACCATGCTTTCGGCATCTTTATAAATGGTTAAATTTTTTTTACTTTAGGATCATCTAAAGGAGTCTCACTCATAATCTCTATAAGCCCTGATATTAATTTGGGTGTTTGTTAACTTTAAGATGTGCTCTTGTAACCACATCAACTTTGCACTTAGTCTACATGCTCTATGTGTCCAATTCCACTTTTAGATACCCAAATGGCTAGATAACCTTTTATGAAGTCCAAATTTTAAAACTTATATTTGGTATTAGAGAAATCTAAGGTGTGACTCTATTAGTTGATTAAAGAAATCACACCATATGTTAAAATTGATATTTAATAAGTTTAATTTACTCCAATTTCAACTCAAGGGGTAGGGTGTTAAAAGAGCGGGGCTCTTAGAAAAGCTGCAACTTTCAACTTCCATTTATGAAAGCGTGAACTTGCAAAAAAGCATGATGGATTATAAACAACCAAAAATAATAACTTAAAAAATTATTAATATTGTTTTAAATATAAAAATGTACCCTTTGTTCCAATTAGTTATAAATCATAGGTTATTTGAGATTAAGCATCTTTAAATAGTATTGGGTTAGATGACCTTCTAGAAAGCCTAGATTCAGGAGATTATAGTGCCATAAATAATATAAGTTAAACTTTGTAAAGAACCTAGCAAAAAAGATAACAATTTAAAATTAAATTGTCATTTTTGTTATGGTAGTGGTGATCGCATGCTTTCGGCATCTTTATAAATGATTAATTTTTTTTTACTTTAGGATCATTTAAAGGAGTCTCACTCATAATCTCTATAAGCCCTAATATTAATTTGGGTGTTTGCTAACTTTAAAATGTGTTCTTGTAACCACATCAACTTTGTAATTGGTCTATGTGTCTAATTCCACTTTTGGATACCCAAATGGCTAAATAACCTTTTATGAAGTCCAAATTTAAAAACTTATATTTGGTATTAGAGAAGTCTAAGGTGTGACTCTATTAGTTGATTAAAGAAATCACACCACATGTTAAGATTAATATTTAATAAGTTTAATTTACTCCAATTTCAACTCAAAGGGTAGGGTGTTAAAAAAGCAGGGCTCTTAGAAGAGCTGCAACTTTCAACTTCCATTTATGAAAGCGTGAACTTGCAAAAACGCATGATGGATTATAAACAACCAAAGATAATAACTTAAAAAATTATTAATATTGTTTTAAATATAGAAATGTACCTTTTGTTCCAATTAGTTATAAATCTTAGGTTATTTGAGATTAAACATTTTTAAATAGTATTGGGTTAGATGACCTTCTAGAAAGCCTAAATTCAGGAGATTATCGTGCCATAAATAATATATATTAATGTTTGTAAAGAACCTAGCAAAAAAGAAAATAATTTAAAATTAAACAACCTTTTAAAAATGAAATATTTACTAGAATGTTCAAAATAAGTATTTAGAAAGCATTTTCATTAGAGCTACTCTCAAGTAACACTTGATGTGTTTCAAATGATTTCATAGTAAAAAATATCTTTATACTTCATTTTTAAAATAATTATAAATTTTGTTTAATACATATTTTGTATTTTGTAAAAGATGTCTACAGACACTCAAAAACCTTTTGCTATTAAATTATTGTCATTCAAGCACTTGCTTATAATAGTTAAAGCACAATACAGTGTTTGGTTTTATGGGATGGCATATATATGTAATTGAGGAGAGTAAACAAATTTCTATATAGAGTTTAGTAAGTAAATGGAATTGTGAACAATGATAATTTTCATAAGTCTTTAAACTGTAGTTTGTAACATATTTTAGCTAAACATTAATTTAAAGAATAAGTTGAAGTTGGTAAAGATAATATATAGTTATCTCCTACAATATGTGATGATAAATAATAATTAAGCACTTGTATTTAGTTTTGAAATGCATTACCTCAAAAGGTTTATTAATATTGATTAACTTCATTCCTAGAATTGTTTTACCAAAGATGCCAAAATAAAAAATGCCACTAATATGAAATCATCTAAGTAGCTTTTCTTTAAAGCATTCAATACTAAAACATCAGAATAAATATAAAAATTATTTTAGAGCAATATCCAAAGATACCTCATCAACTTATATCAGGAAATATAGCATAATCATAGTGAAAATAACATTCTGGCATAGCTACAACAATATAGAGGACATTTGATTTATCATTGCCTTGCCAAATAGTCTCAAAAATCAATATAATTAATGATTTATTTTAAATACCCTACATAGTCTTTGTTAAATAAAACTAAAATCATAGATATATTTCAATGTAAAATACCTTTGTAAATCCATATTGTTTTATAATCCAAGGTTATAAGATGGATATTAAAATATTTGGTCATGATTGTCTTTTGGTCAATTTCTTTCACAATTTTAGTTTTCATATCGAAATGTCATTAATATGAAATCATTTGATGAGTTTTTCCTTCACTTTGATTATTAAAAATTCAACACTGAAATAAACTTGAAACATTAGAATAAACATGAAATAATATTTTAAAGCAATAATGTAAACTTACTTCATCAACTTTTCTTACAAAATATAGCCCAATCATTCCAAAGACATATAGTAATAATTATATAAAGTATGTTCATTTATCTTCATCTTTCCAAACTACCTCGTAAAAATATATATTGATGATCTACTTTAGAATGGTGTTTGTTAGATAAAACTAAAAACTTAAATGTTAAATACCTTTGCAGATCCATATTTTTCTTTCATCCAGGATTATGGGATGAAGAGCAAAATATATAATTAATGATTTACTTTAAATGCCTTACATAGCCTCTGTTAGATAAAACTAAAAGCATGGATATATTTCAATATAAAATACCTTTATAAATATATATTGTTTTATCATCCAAATTATGGGATAAAAAATAAAATATATGGTATCTTTTCCTTCTCTTAAAATATTAGATATTCAACACTGAAATAAACTTGAAACATTAAAATAAACAGGAAAGAATAATTTGGAGTTATAATACATACTTACCTCATTAACTTCAGCTACAAAATAGACCTGAATCATACCAAAGATATATAGTAATAACTATGTAAAGCATATTTATTTACCTTCGTTTTGTTAAACCACCTCATAAAAATATAGATTAATGATCTGCTTTAGAATGGTGTTTGTTAAATAAAATAAAAAACTTAAATGCTAAATACCTTTGCAGACCCATATTTGTTTTCCCTCCAAAATTATAGGATGAAGAGCAAAATATTTTTCCATGATTGTCTCCTGTTTTTCTTCTTTCCCAAATTTAGTTGTCACTAGCTTAAATATCTTTTGCACATCTTCTGCTTTGGGATTTGTAGGTAGCTTGCTTTTAAGAAGACATGAATCCAAAAAACTTATGAGGCTTCCCTTGATCTCATCCACTATTGCATTCACTATCTCTCCAACACCAGCAAAATGTCTTCCAACTTTGGCCCCAATAAATAATAGGATCAATGTATATTTAAGTACTGGAGCAAATTTTTTGAGCCAATTTGGTGGGAGATCCAATTCAACACCTATAGAACTCTTCACTTGATGACCTTTAGAAGTTCCTTCAGGCCATTCACACAAGTAGTGAAGTCTACCATGTGTTCCCAGTATTTTACTGTAATTTTTCCACATATTATTCTCATCAAGAATATATGGATATTTTGGGTAATCTGTCTCTAATTTCAATAATACTTGAAAACACGTTATATGGATTGCATTCACTTTATCCATGATAAACTTGAGTCCATTCTTGAGCTTGTTAACGCTTACTTCAATATCATTAAGTTTTGTATCTAACTTGTCAAAACGGTTCTCCATTTTATCAAACATCTTCTTAATATATCTGAGGATTGCATCAAGTTTTGGGTCTTCAATGTTTGGAAACTCAACAATATCTGATGATGCTTTGGGAATTGTGACTTCTCCAACCTCCTTATAGTCCTTCAAGAGTTCATGAAGTTCAACAAACTTATTCACCAGTTCATGTTTTTGCTCCTTAGGCATCAATAGCTTAGCCAAAGCATTCTCATCTGAGACCTTTAAATCATTATTCACATCCCAGCTCTCTGCTTCATGTGAATAATTCCAAGTGTGAGAGTATTCTAGACCTCTTTCTCTTGCTTCATATTTGACTTGCTTTAGTGGACAAACAACTGAAGCCCATAATTCTAATTTGTCCACCTTATTTAGTATCCTTCTCCATACATAACCACGTCTCATCACATTTTCTTCAATTTCCAAAGATGGGCAATCCTCCATACATACCCCAATAATGCAATTTCTAATTTTTTCCATCCATCCTTCAGCTTCCTTTTCTAAATCCAGCCTTGGTGTATTCTCTACCTCTTTTGGGTAGTAAATGATGACATCAACCCATTGCCTATCTTTCCAATTGTCTGTGTCTCCCCCAACTCTCACAATTATCTCGATAAGGTTTTTTTTCAAAGCCACCCATCCATTCCCAAGCCTGAAACCTTTCTTGCTTAATTTGTAAAGTTTAACTTGGATCTTTGTGAAAATACTTGCAGGAAACAATTTCAGCTCCTTGTCTTTGCATTCAAACCTCCTGCCCCAGTAGTTGTGGTTTTTTTGAGTGTTAATTGACAATAAATATCCTGAAGGTGAATAGTCTTCTTGCAATAGTGTTGGCATTATCAACTCTTTGGGCAAGTTATGCCAATTCCCATCCCATGTTTCATCCCAAGGCAATATCACTCCCATCTCATGGAGCACTCCAAGAATGTACTCCACTATTTTGTCTTGCTTCCCACATTGTTGCTTCAACTGATGTTTAACTCTATGTGTTTCCATTTTACTTTTGAGTTTGCTTGTCTCAGTATGTATGAAGAGTTGCACCACATCCCTCATAAACCATTGGACATCTAAGATGACAAATTGAGACACAATGTCGTCCTCTTCATGTCCCAAGCCAAAGTAAATTGCATCACCAGAATCATGTAGAAATTGCAAGACGAACTTGAGAACATTCTTGGAACTCCTGTGAGGCAAGAGAATTTTGCCAACTTTTTCTAGGGGTATGACCTTCTTGTGACTTGGATCTTGTACCAATTTCCTCTTTGCTTTGAGACATTCCCGTGGTATTTGTTGCTGGGCTGACAGCAGTTCCTCCAAGCAACTCCCCAACATGGTTTTTATCCCCCTTAAATCTTTCACTTGAGTGGCCACCACCTCAAAACAAAAGTCATTCCCAAACTCAAGTACTTGCCAATAGCCTTTGTCGGAGATTATTGCAGAAACCACCTCCTTTGGGTCAAAGTCGGGTTCTGGAGTGAAAAAGTTCAAGGCAATCAAGACCCTGGGCTTCCTTTTGGGTGAGGCTGATTGATGTGAAGCGATGAACCTCAGCCAGTAAACCAAATTCTGCTTGAAAACGTCACAATTGTCATCCTCCACCTTGCATACGATCAAGAAGAGATCCTTCTCACTTCCTCTGAGAAAGTACTGGTGGAAAGCATGGAACTCTTCCTGTCCAGCCAGGTCGCAAATGAGCAGCTTTTGTTTGGTGGTCGCATAGACAAGTGGTTGCAGCTCAATGCCTGCTGTTGAAGCATGCCTTTGGAGACATGATGGAAACCAAGACACTCTGCGGCAGAGGTTTTTTTTTATTGTGGTCTTTCCAACCCTGCTAGCACCACACAAGAAGAGCTTTGCTGTTGACGGGTTGTCAAAGTCTTTGAATGCACTCTGCTGGAAGATTGCATTCCGCTCTAAAAGACCAGAACACCTCTACTTGAAAGCTTCAGAAGCTTCGGAATCATTGCCTATATCAAGCTCTTCCACGAGGCTTTGGTAGTTTTCCTCCAAGGCAGCCAGAATTTGTCTTTTCTGTGCATCGCTATCAAGAAAAGGAGCCCTGAATCTGCGCACCTTGCATTTTGGATCCCCCAGCAACTGGCAAAGATCTTCCAGCTTTTCAATTTCTCCCTGACGTATTTCCAAGTCTTCAATGCTGCTTCCCAAAAGGCACCTCCATGGCAGTTCCGAGTGACATGACAAAGCTTTCAGATGCTTGCAGCTGGTGATAGCTTTCCAAAAGAGCTCCCCATTCGTGATTTTGCAATTGAATATAACCAAATGCTCCAGTTGGCTCTTCTCTATGCCCTCGGCAAACTCCAACGTTAACTCATCTTCTCCTCCCCATATTTCCAAATGGCGCAGCTTACAATGTGGACTTGAGAGGGCTGACCACAGACTGCTGTCACAGACCACTCCTCCTCCCTCGTTGCGAAAAGAAAGTTTAAGCTTGATCAGCTTGCAATTGGGATTTTGTAGCGCTTTGCCCAACCATCCACCACCATCACCTGGATAAAGTGTAACGCTGAGTTCCTCCAAGCCACACTTAGCGCTGCTCAGGGCCTCACCCAGGCCCGTTGCATTGCTCAGGTCCTCACTCTGTCCTTGGCAATTTAAAACTGACAGGCTGGTGCCCTCCTGAAGAGCCTTGCATACCCATGGCAACACTCCAGCATCACTATCCCATAGGGATAGTCTTTGCAGCGAACAGCTTGGACTCGTGAGTGCCTTGAAGAGTGCTTCACCTGCCTCCTCTGGAAACGGTGCCACCAGTTCTACTAGCTTATTGAAAATGCCATTCTGAAATGCCTGTTCCCACCCTTCCTTGCCAATGACGTTATCCAGGATGACTAACTCTTCCACCTTGCACTCCTGACTTGCCAGATCCCTACTCAATTTCCCAAATCCTTCCACTGTCATCCTGTTCCTAGTCAAGACGAGACGTTTCAAGTTGTTTCCTGGTTTCCTAAGGAGTTGGCTAAGGAGAGTCTCTGGGTTCCCAACCTTGTCCAACCTGAGCTCTGTCAAGCAGTCGAGCTGAGCAAAGGCCAACTCAAGCTCCTGAGGTGGTGTGAGGATGTCTTTGCCTCCTTGCCAACCTAGCCCTTTCCAGACTTTGAATTCCTCCGTCATCAGTAGCTTCGCAAACCTCTGTACCTCAATCTGGCCAATATCCTGTCCCTGCTGAGGAGGAGCAATGCCCTCTGCCACCCTTTGCATTCGATCACTGGGAATGCCCAACCTACAAGCGACCCTGGCAGCGAAGTGGATGAATCTGATGTCGAGCTGTGGTACCAAAGCGGCCTTGAGAATGTCAATGTGAGCAGCAGCAGCAGCAGACGAACTGCCATCACCAGGAGCATCTCCCACATCCAGAGCCCTGTCTAAACAGGGCGGATTTGAAATGCACCAGTTGAGCACACCAATCAGATCCTCCTCTGTGCCTCCAAACCTCTCGACGGTAGCACTCACCTCATCAACAAACTCACCTTTGGATGAGTGAAGCCTCTCCAAGATCTCCCCACAAAAAAACTGAATCGCATCGAAGTGCCGCTTGTTGTCCCGCTCCGCTGCGAGAGCCTCCTTGATCTCCTTGACAGAGTCACAGCCGATCCACACTCGTCGCTCCTCCTCCATGGAAGTTTGCCCTAGACCGAGTGATCATGAGTAAACTTCTCCCAGCTGTGGATAAGAAAGTAAGCACGAGTTAGTTTAGGGTTTAGAACAGATAAAATGGGGAAGAAGGGGAAAGGGAAAAGAGAAGATCGTCGCCACGACAAGGTGTTAGACGAGGATGATATCGATGCGATCTTGGTAAGCAATCTCTGGCCAAAGACTCTCAATTGTTTTCCTTTTTGTCAGGCTAAACTCCACGAGGAGGAAGCAGAAATTCATGTCGATGAGAATGTAGCAGCTCCTTCACCAATGCAATTGCTCTGTGCGTAAGAATTCGATTGAAATCTCCACTCTGGAAGCTCACATTCTCTAGACTTCTTTTCTTGCGTTTCAGGTGACTGTAAATCCAGTCAAGGACACTGAGCTGATCGTCTATGGAGGTGAATACTAACAACGGTGACAAGGTTTGTGGTTAGTTTCGCTACGGTGATTTGATCTTCGTGTTTGCTATGCTAGACTTTACGTTTATGGTGATCTCTACCGATACAACATCGAGAAGAACGAGTGGAAGCCTGTCACCAGTCCAAACTCTCCTCCCCCGAGGCGGTTGCGTGGAAAAACTGGCTCTTCAGTTTTGGTATCCAGGAATTCTCTTGATTTTGGCAGTGTAGGTGGTGAATTCGGTTTCATGACTATAAGGTGTGTTTCTAGCTGACTTACAAGAGAGTTCTTGCAGGATTTATGGAGACTGGATTTAAACACAAATATCTGGCGGGAGCAGCTTCAACTAAAAGGCTGTCCAGGTGCTCGTTCCGGACATAGATTGGTATGTATTGCGCTTCTAAACATAATCTTTATTTTTTTCTTTCTTGCCACAGAAACATAAACTTATTCTATTTGGTGGATTTTATGACACGCTGAGGGAAGAAAGGTCGGCTGTTTCAGCAGTGTAGATGTTTAGTATTGAATTTTTGACACAGGTACTTCAATAATCTTTAAGTGCTGGATTTAGACGATTATAAGGTTTGTTTCTGTCGCTCATCGTTCTTCCTTGTTTTTTAACAACTAAACTGATTTCCTTTTGCAGTGGCAAGAGATAAAACCCAAGCTTGGAGCTGCCTGGCCTTCAGCTGGAACTGGTTCTCAGCTTGCTGTTTATTTAGATGAGGTATTTGTCTACTAAAAGTATAGTTTTGCGTGTTGTGAACATTTTTTCTTTTCTAGATTTTCTTGTACGGTGGCTATTTCAAAGAGCCTGTGCTTGTTTTACATTCTCGTTTGGAGTTTTAGTTTTTCAATGTGTTTTGTGAAGGTGAAAAAATCCGGTATGGCTCCTGGCCAAGAGCAGGATTTTTGTCCACATCTTGTTTGGTGGTGTAGTTGATGCTGATGAGTACGGTTTCAATGCATGCGTTGGAAAAACTAATGTCTTTTGCAGGTGATTCCCTGCACAGCGTTTTTATGATCGAGATGTATATGCTTTCCAGATGGTTTGTATCTCGTCGATTTTTTAAAAATTATCTAAGCACCATCGCTCGCAGGTATCCTTTGGAGCAAAGAGCCTAAAGATTAAGGTATGGCAATCTGAGATTGTGTAGTGGTTAAGTGTGCATCCAAAGCAGAAGAAAGTGGTTGATCCAAATGTGGAAAATGCGTCTCAACGTTGAGCGTTCTGCTTGAAGGTTGTTGCCTTGTGGAAGAATGAATGCTGGAATGGTCGTTGGAAAGGATACTTTGTTTCTGTATGGAGGTATGAAAGAAGTCGGCAAAAAAAAAGTGACACGACGACCTTTCCTCGCTGGACCTTCGATGTGTGGAAGTGCATTATTGAGGTAGTATGATCGAGCCATCATCCAGCCTCATACTAATGTCTCAAGCAGGAAACACAAAGCGCGTGGATTGAAGCTAGTAAGGAGAAAGGCGAAACTGATGGTGACAACAGTGATGCTGGATCGATTAATAAAGGAAAAGACGAAGAGGACGATGACGAGGTAGTAAAAAAGAAGGATGTAAGAAAACTTGTCGGCTTCCTTTTGTATTCTAGGATGCAGTGGAGTCACTGTGAAGAGGCAGCTGCTATTCTTAGGGGCGAAGGCAAAAAGCTGACACAGAAAGCACGGAAATTAAATATCAATCCGAGCTGGGCCTGGCTGATTCCCAACAAACACTTTTGGTGAGTGCTGATAGTAGTTCATCTTCCTGTTTTGTTATTGATTTGTCTTTCAGCCTGGAGAAACGCTGAGAGATTTTTTCTCTTGGACGATCATGTATTGGCAAATGGCACCTTACGATCACACCCAACACACTGGAAAGGTGACAACGCAGGTTTTCTTTCGCTCGTTCTTCATGCTCTATGCATCTATCAGGAGCTCAGGAAGGATGGATTTGACTTGGCAAAGACACGCTACAGAGAACTTAAACCCGTCCTTGACAAGGTAAAGTGGTGTCTCAAGAAGGAATCCTCACAACAGCATTGTTTGATTTGCAGCTCGAGACTTGAAGCCGACCACAACGCCGAAGAGGAGGCTACCAAACCTTCCAAAGAGCGCAGCACGAAGAAACGATAAGGTCCGTGATCTCTGAAAGTTCTAGCTGAAAATTAAATGAATAGATTACAGTTATTCCCAGAGGTATGGTGAGTGCTTTCCTTTTCTAGAGGCAATGCCATTGACATGAAACCACTAGTATACAATCTCTGCGTCGCATCATCAATGGTGATAGAAGGTTAATTAATAACGACGATCCGAGTGCATGAAATGGATATCCAGGATAAAGTTTATATTTCCATGATTGCTCGCAGAGTGTATGGGCCTGAGATATCCCATGGCTCGCTTTCGGTTGCCTTTCGTAAAGTGCAGAGTGAACACTCTCTCTACGCGGTCCATAAACTTTACTACCTGCAGTGCATTGGAGCAATGAAATTCCATCAGCAAGACCCTCAAAGGAAAATTTCTTCACACCTTCCGACGTTGCAAAGTGGTAACTGCCAGACTCCAGTCACCTGAAAATTCAAAAAAACCTTTTTAGAAGTCTGCACTAATTTTCCATTTTCCATAAGTACCTTTTCATATTTCTTGCGGATCTTGACGAATGCCATCATGTTCAAGGAGCTGCCAAGTAAGTTTTCAACACTTTGAGAACATGGATCAATCGTATAGAGGTCATTCACCTGAAGTTTCTTAGGAGTCGAAGCCCACGATAAAATTCGACAAAGGCCGTCTGGAGCATCTTGGCTGCTCGCTGAACCTTTCCTTTGTTGCCGGGGCTCCCCTTCAAGCTCTGAGATTCGTCATCTACAACATGGCAGAGATCAAACGATTCCAAGTTAAGTGCCACAGAATTAGAGGCTGCTAGAACGAACCTTGCATAGCGATGAGCTCTTCCATTTGGATGTGAAGTTGCCGTGCTTGAGCATCGTACTCGTCTTCCTTGCATCTAAAAAAGTTGTCCACTTTGTTGAGCTGATCGTCAAGGCCGAAAAAGAAGCTCTTTTCGTGATCCGATCGAGTTCCAAACAGCTCCGTCTCGTAAAAATCCTCGCCATCTCCAATTCTCGTCTTGTGCACAACCTGATCATATTGAAGTGTTTTGTTTTGTCTTTACAGTCCAGACCATCATCACAAACCATGGACGTTTCCGAGGATATGGATTGTTCGCAGCAGCTGCTTAGAATGGCGCTGGGATTTTGCAGCAAGTTTTCAAGCTTGCTCTTGTCAACGGAGAAGACATTTGGATCGAACACCTTGTGCTGCTGGTTCTTGGTATGTAGGATCTGGGTTTTGATTCTCTTGACAACTTTCTTGAGCTGCTTGTAGTCGCAGTACTTCACCCGCCACTCTGGGACGAGCTGGCCCTCCAGCTGCTTCTGGAACTTCACCATGTCTGAAAGCTTGGATTACCTGAGGCGAACATCGTCAAGAAAACGATCAAGCAAGAGATGAAATACCTGGAGGAAATGGTGTCAAGTTCAGAATGCCTCTTCAAACTTTTCTGGCGCCTGTGCTCTGGAAGCACAGGAAGAACAGTGGCAGTGAGCATATGACGAGACAAATGGTGGCGTGGAATCATCAAATGCATTGTGCTGGGGAGGAGCACCACCAATTCTCACAAGAAAACAGCGCCTTAAGATCATCTCTGGAAAAAAGGGGGAAAGCCTTCGTTTCTCACCGACGCCAGCGAACAATTACATAAGAATACGTTATCCCGAGTGAAACTGACGCAGCAGAGTGCAAGAGGAGAGAAGAAGCAAGCGATCCATTGGCCTATGGAACTAAAAAAGGAAACAAAAGGACAGGGAATGCAGGGGAATCTACAGGAAAAGCTGTCGTAAGTTACACACTTACACACACTCTCACACACTTCAACTCTTTTCTTGTCAACACGAGTAATTTATGCGAGCGAAAGGGAATGAAAGAATCATTTGAGCATCTAAAGCATGGAAGGAAGCGAGGCACGATGATTCGTCCCTGCTTATTTTTTCGCCTATCGTTGGCTGTGTCTCCTACATTAGGACCAAAGGTCTTCCCGCATAACCATCAAGCCACGTTTCGTGGATTCGTAATGCACTCGCATAAGGCATGCCATCCTGTAAGAGAAGCAAAGCTGAATAACTCCACCAAGACAAAGCGATAAGAACGCCACCTCATATTGAAACACACGGCGGTTGTCAAGCGATAATTCAGCTCTTCGTCTGGAATGCACCAGCAAAAGAATAATGCATATGACTCAGAAAGAAGAACTTGACGTACCCGTTCGCTGCCACTTATCAAACTTGACAACCCAAGTAACGTCCCCAACCCCCATCAACCCACATACAGAAGTTCTTTCCCCTGGGAATACCGTGGAGGGGACGTAGAATCTCAACGCTTCTACGAAGATCGTCTTCTAGTTTCCACGGAGTGACCAGCGTTGAGTCAGGGGCCTGCCAGCCATTTCGTTGCTCAACCATCAAAAACTACTAAACACGAGGAACTTACCATTGGCCTTTTCAAGTGTTCAAACACCTCGTGGGAGCTTTCAACCTCGCCTCGTAACCATCTCACACTCCACGTCCGATCAACCCTTCGGTGTCCCCAGCAGTGAGCTGGCTCAGTAAGTCGGCATCCCTGGGCGAAACACAAGGATCAAACTTGAACTCTCGGATAGCTTGTAAGATTCCCGAAGCGCATCTTTCAGTGCCACGAAAGATCTTGGGATTGTCTTTGGCATTATCAAGGTACCACTACGTAAGATCTTCAAACGCATTCCCGACCTGAGATCGTCAGTGAGTGAGTGAGTGATCAATCGACTTCAAGAACTGAAACGTCTTTGACGTCCAGCGCCTCCTCCTGATTGAGCACCGAGATCCACGTCGCGCTCTCCTTGGCAGTTATCTTGTCTTGCAAGCACTTGGACTGCCTCACGAGCTTCCTGATCTTCCCGATATCCGGGGACATGTGTCGGATCACCGCAGTGAGAACTCCAACCTTCCACACCTTCTTGAGATCATGGGGCTTCTTATACGGATCCATCTTGCGGATCGATCGGAGTGGAAGTATTTCGAGCGCCCGCTGCCAAGAGGAGGGAATATTTCGGAGCGATTACCTCCAATTCGCCATGGAAAGCCGAGGATCGAATGGGAAAAGCGAGGAAGATCACGGGAAGCAGAGAGAAAGAAGGAAAAAGCTCGATTCAACGCGAGCCCCTTGTGTGATTACCTAGCTCCATCGATGCCCCGTCGACGCGCGCTGCGCTCGCCGATCGCGCCCGTGACACAGTGGCGCAGCGCCTTCAAATTCGACACATTGCCCGGGCAAGCGTCACAATCCCAATGCCGCCACCGCTGCGGGCGCTGCCAACGCGATCAACGAGAATCGATGCCCTAGCGCATCAAGATCCCCGCTTTGCTCGGCGAGAGAGAGAAGAGCAAAGGCGCAGCGCCCCTCGTCATAGCCAACTACTAGGTCATAGCTATCCATCTAAATGCCGTACAATTCCCCCCAGGTCGGGTTTATGACATGGAAGTCCACTGGCTTTTTGACACGTGGCACACCTACATCTGGATTTACAAGGACGCCCTTTTCAGCCCTTCGCTTACGGTCAATTTAGCTATCTGCCTCAAATTTAGCTAACCGGTTTGTTGCCAGATTTAGCAGCTCCCCGAATTTAAATCACTTTTGTCCAAGCTGCCAGTTTGTCGGAATCCAGTTTGGGTCATAAAATGGACCACTGGGGGACGCCGGGCTCGAACCCGGACCAGCGGATGCCGCGCCGCGCCGGACTCCGGCGGTCTCGTCGCCGGACTCGAACCCGCCACCGTACGCTCCACGCCTCCACCGCTACCATACGCCTCTCTCTAGTTTATTATACGCCTCCAATCCTTCCTCATGATCAACGAGACAACCAACCCCGCGTAGAGTACGTGGGGTACGACGTTTGAAACTCCATTCATTGGGTTTTGTTAAAGAGAATAAAAGACAGAACGCCACTGTAGCTAAACCTAGAAATCAAAAACTAAACTACATCGTGCCATTATTGGTTTGAGATGCAACACCTTTTACTCGGGCACCCTAGCGAATAATAGAATATTTTCTGCCGGAGAATATTCTGGAATCGGCCCGTGGTCCACATGATAGAGGGCAGTGACAAGAGGTTTTGGGCCCCCCTCAAAATGCTTATTTTTATTGTTCGCTGGGAGTCCATGTTCCCTCTTTAGCTCCCATGTGTGGCCTTTGTTTTTGTTGCCAGCCAAACAAACACACAGAAAGTTTGAAGGAGAGAGAGAGTGTGCAAAAATCTGAGAGGAGAGAAAGAAATGGCACCGGCTTTGATTGACTTTGCCGCGCTCCACTTCTTTGATCCCTCCATCTCCATCTCGTCCTTTTTCTTTTTCTACTCGGACTCGGACGATTCGATCCATCTCATGTTTCGCTCGAAGTCGATGGATCACTGCCCAATCACTCCATCACTTCTTGTCGACTGGAAAAGTCTTTAAATTCCTCTCGCTGATGCGATCAGCACGGCATTAGCCTGAGATCAAGGCCGCGGATCATCCAGCAAAGTCTAAGCTTTTTGCCAAGGATGTGACAAGCTAACGTGTTGTCCAGGCGCTTACAGGTTCCATTGTTTTTCCAATCACAATTCTTTTTCCTCCGGCGACCGGCACGAAAGTCGTCCGAAGCAACCCAAACTGGAAACAAGATACATGCCCAGTTTCTCGGACAGATTTCCTCAAGCCCGGCAGAACACGGAAGACGAAGAAATTCGTTAAAAAATCCACGAGCAAGCAGCAAGAGAGAGAGAGAGAGAGAGAGACATAAAAAACTTTGCCAAGCCCAAAGTCGTTGATGTTAAGCTAGGCCGTGCTTGAAGCGCGTGATGATGATCATGAAAGTTCCTGTCAAGATGCTCGGTGGATTCTCCGTGTCTCCAGCTAGAGACTTATCGACACACTATCTATCTGGTAATGTTTCAAAACGAGTAAACTAATCAGTGTTTGTTGGGAATGAATGTTTGTGCTGCTTGGCCACTTGCACTGCGGCGGCAGCAGAGGAGGATGTTTTGCGGCAACTATACCTGACTAAATCGAAGTACTTTAATTGCAATTTGCAAGATCACAAGTACTAGTCCTGAAGAAAAACAGCAAGATGTGCTTATAATCAAGGCATTCTTGCAACGCAAGTGGAAATTCACTATGTTTACCTGGGCTTTCCAAGGATGCTTCATCTGAATCGCATAGTGTCACCCTGCTGTATGAAAAAGACAAGAGAAAAATTCTTACTCACTAGAGTTTGTTAATTTTACTCTAGCTATTACAAATTTTCCATTGTTGATACTCACTGTAGCTTCATTCAACTCCACACTTTTTTACTTAATTAGAGATGTAAAGTTTTGTCTCATGTTCTAGAATTTTGTCTATAGTTACAAAACCACAAGCTTATCCATAAATGGATTGATATTACTATAAACAATTAAAGAAAACAACTTGAAAGACGATTAATAGGGTTGAAATATAGAGGGAAAGGGCTCATGAATAAAAATACATTTTATTTTTCAAATGCACTCATTTTTCCAATCGGTTAAAGGTCCTGGGATATTTGGGGTTAAGTGTTTCTGGGTTGGGTGACTTCCCGGGAATTTTAAATTCAAGAGTTTATAATTACTTCAGTGCAGAAGTATAATCTTAACTTCTCTCTCTTCCTTTCAGCTTCTTTTCTTTGCTTTTCAATATGTAGTGAGTGAAATGCTTTCACTCGTAAGTTTTTCATAAGTGAGTGAATAAAACTTGATTAACTTTTATAACCTACTTTTCCAAAGTTACATTTAAGATGGCCAAGTGAGCAGTGTGATGTGTTCTTACAACCAAGTGAATAGTTTTTTAACTTGTGCTAATCAAAGTTTGCTCATAGATATAATACAAAATAAGTGGGGATGCAATAAATTTATTCATTTCTCTTCTCGAGAAAAATCATTCTTTTACTTCTTGTTAAATATATAGTTTTTGATTGTGATGTTCTTCACTTTTTTTGAAGGGTATACTCCCTTAGCCAAAGATGCAATTGTTGATTCTATGTTATAGGTAAAAATTTGATAATTAGAATTGTTGCACGTTTCAATATTAATTTTGGGACCAACTTCTAAAGTTTTACCAAGATTATTTTAAATTAATAAGTTCAAAACTTTTTCTTGACAATCATGAGAAGTCAAAATATCACCAAGGTTAACTTTAACCATATAATATCCAATCTCATTACAACCAAAATGTGGCTTAGATTATTCAATGGCAATTCAAGAGCTGGTCCTCTTTAACAAGTTCCATATATAAATAATATAGTGATTTACCCTTTCTTTTTTTGTAAGTTATTGTTTAAAAAGAGTTTATTTTAAATTCACTTAAATCTTTCTCTTGAGAAACTACTTAGCTTGGCATAAAATCTTAGCAACCCAATACTAAATACTAGTCCAAAAATTTGAGAAAAACATATAAACCAGTATAGTAATGATAATTTGAAGCTTTTTCTTGCCAATTTACAAGGTATAATAAATGATTGAGATGTTGGTTCTCTAAACAAAGATGAGATAAAGATTGGGAGTGATCTTAGGCAAACATCTCTAAGCCAAACTTCTTCATTTGGCTCATAAACTTGGTTGAGTTTGCAAAGGTTTCGATAAAGTTTATTTTTGAATTTTTGCATGTCATAAATGCTTATCAAGGCAATGTAAATAGGAGTATACTATAATTATGGCTTGTCATTTTTGTTATGGTGGTGGTGATTGCAACTATCACCATGCTTTCAACATCTTTATAAATGATTAATTTTTTTTTACTTTAGGATCATCTAAAGGAGTCTCACTTATAATTTCTATAGGCCCTGATATTAATTTGGGTGTTTCCTAACTTTAAGATGTGTTTTTGTAACCACATCAACTTTGTACTTGGTCTAAATGCTCTATGTGTCTAGTTCCACTTTTGGATACCCAAATGACTAGATAACTTTTTATGAAGTCCAAATTTAAAAACTTATATTGGTATTAGAAAAGTGTAAGGTGTGACTCTATTAGTTGATTAAAAAAATCACACCACATGTTAAGATTGATATTTAATAGGTTTAGTTTACTCTAATTTCAACTCGAGGGGTAAGGTGTTAAAAGAGTAAGGCTCTTAGAAGAGCCCTACTCTTGCAAAAAAACATGATGGATTATAAACAACCAAAGATAATAACTTAAAAAATTATTAATATTATTTTAAATATAGAAATGTACTCTTTGTTCCAATTAGTTGTAAGTATTAGGTTATTTGAGATTAAGCATCTTTAAATAGTATTGGGTTAGATGACCTTCTAGAAAGCCCAAATTCAGGAGATTATAGTGCCATAAATAATATAAGTTAATGTTTGTAAAGAAACTAGCAAGAAAGAAAACAATTTAAAATTAAACAACCTTTTAAAAATGAAATATTTACTAGAATGTTCAAAATAAGTATTTAGAAAGCATTTTTATTAGAGCTACTCTCAAGTAATACTTGATGTGTTGCAAATGATTTCATAGTAAAAAATATCTTTATACTTCATTTTTAAAATAATAATTAGTGGTGTTTAATACATATTTTGTATTTTCTAAACAATATCTAGAGACACTCAAAAACCTTTTGCTGTTAAATTATTGTCATTCAAGCACTTGTTTACAATAGTTAAAACACAATACAATGTTTGGTTTTATGGGATGGTAAATATATGTAATTGAGGAGAGTAAACAGATTTCTATATAGACTTTAGTAAGTAAATGGAATTGTGAACAATGACAATTTTCATAAGTCTTTAAACTGTAGTTTGTAACATATTTTAGCTAAATATTAATTTAAAAAATAAGTTGAAGTTGGTAAAGATAATATAAAGTTATCTCCTACAGTATGTGATGATAAATAACAATTAAGCATTTGTATTTAGTTTTGAAATGCATTACCTCAAAAGGTTTATTAATAATAATTAACTTTATTCCTAGAATTGTTTTACCAAAGATGCCAAAATGAAAAAATGCCACTAACATGAGATCATCTGAGTAGCTTTTCTTTAAAGCATTCAATACTAAAACATCAGAATAAATATAAAAATTATTTTATAGCAATATGCAAAGATACCTCATCGACTTATATCAAGAAATGTAGCATAATCATAGTAAAAATGCCCTACATAGTCTTTGTTAAATAAAACTAAAATCATAGTTATATTTGAATGTAAAATAGCTTTGTAAATCTATACTGTTTTATAATCCAAGGTTATAGGATGGATATTAAAATATTTGGCCATGATTGTCTTTTGATCAATTTCTTTCACAATTTTAGTCTTCTTATCAAAATATGATTAATATGACATCATTTGACTAGCTTTTCCTTCACTTGAATTATTAAACATTCAACACTGAAATAAACTTGGAACATTAGAATAAACATGAAATAATATTTTAAAGCAATAATGCAAATTTACCTCATTGACTTCTATTACAAAATATAGCCCAATCATTCCAAAGACATATAGCAATAACTTTATAAAGCATATTTATTTACTTTCATCTTGCCAAATCATCTCGTAAAAATATAGATTGATGATCTGATTTAGAATGGTTTTTGTTAGATAAAACCAAAAACTTAAATGTTAAATACCTTTGTAGACCCATATTTTTCTTTCATCCAGGATTATGGGATGAAAAACAAAACATATGATTAATGATTTACTTTAAATACCCTACATAGCTTCTGTTAGATAAAACTAAAAGTATGGATACATTTCAATATAAAATACCTTTGTAAATATATATTGTTTTATCATCTAAATTATAAGATAAAAAATAAATTATTTGGTAGTTTTTCCTTCATTTAAAGCATTAAAAATTCAACACTGAAATGAACTTGAAACATTAGAATAAACAGGAAAGAATAATTTGGAGTTATAATGCAAACTTACCTCCTTAACTTCTGCTATAAAAAATACCCCAATCATACCAAAGACATATAGTAATAACTATATAAAGCATGTTTATTTACCTTTGTTTTACTAAACCACCTCATAAAAATTTAGATTGATGATCTGCTTTAAAATGGTGTTTGTTAGAAAAAACTAAAAACTTAAATATTAAATACCTTTGCAGACCCATATTTTTCTTCCCTCTAAGATTGTGGGATGAAGAGCAAAATGTTTTTCCATGATTGTCTCCTGTTTTTCTTCTTTCCCAATTGTAGTTGTCACTAGCTTAAATATCTCTTGCACATCTTCTGCTTTGGGATTTGTAGTTAACTTATTTTTGAGAAGACATGAATCCAAAAAGCTTATGAGGCTTCCCTTGATCTCATCCACCATTGCATTCATTATTTCTCCAACACCAGCAAAATGTCCTCCAACTTTAGCCCCAATAAATAATAGGATCAATGTATGTTTAAATATTGGAGCAAATTTCTTGAGCCAGTTTGGTGGGAGATCCAATTCAACACCTACAGAACTCTTCACTTGATGACCTTTAAAAGTTCCTTGAGGCCATTCACACAAGTAGTGAAGTTTAACATGTGTTCCCAATATTTTGCTGTAATTTTTCCACCTATTATTCTCATCAAGAATATATGGATATTTTGGGCAATCTGTCTCCAATTTCAATAATACTTGAAAACACGTTGTATGGATTGCATTCACTTTATCCATGATAGACTTGAGTCCATTCTTGAGCTCGTTAAGGCTTACTTCAATGTTATCAAGTTTTGTATCCAACTTGTCAAACCGATTCTCCATTTTATCAAACTTCTTATCAAAATATCTAAAAATTGCATCGAGTTTTGGGTCTTCAATGTTTGGAAACTCAACAACATTTAATGATGCTTTGGGAATTGTGACTTCTCCAACCTCCTCATAGTCCTTTAAGAGTTCATGAAGCTCAACAAACTTATTCACCACTTCATATTTTTGCTCATTAGGCATCAATAACTTGGCCAAAGCATTCTCATCTGAGACCTTCAAATCGTTAATCACATCCCAACTCTCTGCTTCATGTGAATCATTCCAAGTGTGAGAGTAGTCTAGACCGCTTTCTCTTGCTTCACATTTGACTTTCTTTAGTGGATAAATAACTGCATCCCATGATTTTGGTTTGCCCACATTATTTAGTATCCTTCTCCACACATAACCACGTCTCATCACATTTTCTTCAATTTCCAAAAATGGGCAATCCTCTATACATACCCCAATAATGCAATTTCTAATTTTTTCCATCCATCCTTCAGCTTCTTTTTCCAAATCCGGCCTTGGTGCATTCTCTACCTTTTTTGGGTAGTAGATGATGACATCAACCCATTGCCTATCTTTCCAATTGTCTGTGTCTCCCCCAACTCTAACAATTGTCTTGATAAGGTTTTCTTTCAAAGCCACCCATCCATTCCCAGGCCTAAAACCTTTCTTGCTTAATTTGTGAAGTTTAACTTGGATCTTTGTGAAAATACTTGCAGGAAACAATTTCAAGTCCTTGTCTTTGCATTCAAACCTCCTGCCCCAGTAGTTGTGGTTTTTTTGAGTGTCAATTGGCACTGAGGGTGACAATAAATATTCTGGAGGTGAATATTCTTCTTGCAATAATGTTGGCATTATCGGCTCTTTGGGCAAGTTATGCCAATTCCCATCCCATTTATCATCCCAAGGCAATATCACTCCCATCTCATGGAGCACTCCAAGAATGTACTCCACTATTTTGTCTTGGTTCCCACATTGTTGCTTCAACTGATGTTTAACTCTGTGTGTTTCCATTTGACTTTTGAATTTGCTTGTCTCAGTATGTATGAAGAGTTGCACCACATCCCTCATAAACCATTGGACATCTAAGATGACAAATTGAGACACAATGTCGTCCTCTTCATGTCCCAAGCCAAAGTAAATTGCATCACCAGAATCATGTAGAAATTGCAAGACGAATTTGAGAACATTCTTGGAACTCCTGTGAGGCAAGAGAATTTTGCCAACTTTTTCTAGGGGTATGACCTTCTTGTGACTTGGATCTTGTACCAATTTCCTCTTTGCTTTGAGACATTCCCGTGGTATTTGTTGCTGGGCTGACAGCAGTTCCTCCAAGCAACTCCCCAACATGGTTTTTATCCCCCTTAAATCTTTCACTTGAGTGGCCACCACCTCAAAACAAAAGTCATTCCCAAACTCAAGTACTTGCCAATAGCCTTTGTCGGAGATTATTGCAGAAACCACCTCCTTTGGGTCAAAGTCGGGTTCTGGAGTGAAAAAGTTCAAGGCAATCAAGACCCTGGGCTTCCTTTTGGGTGAGGCTGATTGATGTGAAGCGATGAACCTCAGCCAGTAAACCAAATTCTGCTTGAAAACGTCACAATTGTCATCCTCCACCTTGCATACGATCAAGAAGAGATCCTTCTCACTTCCTCTGAGAAAGTACTGGTGGAAAGCATGGAACTCTTCCTGTCCAGCCAGGTCGCAAATGAGCAGCTTTTGTTTGGTGGTCGCATAGACAAGTGGTTGCAGCTCAATGCCTGCTGTTGAAGCATGCCTTTGGAGACATGATGGAAACCAAGACACTCTGCGGCAGAGGTTGTTTTTTATTGTGGTCTTTCCAACCCTGCTATCACCACACAAGAAGAGTTTTGCTGTTGATGGGTTGTCAAAGTCCTTGAATGCACTCTTCTGGAAGATTGCATTCCGCTCTAAAAGACCAGAACACCTCTGCTTGAAAGCTTCAGAAGCTTCGGAATCACTGCCTATATCAAGCTCTTCCACGAGGCTTTGGTAGTTTTCCTCCAGGGCAGCCAGAATTTGTCTTTTCTGTGCATCACTATCAAGAAAACGAGCCCTGAATCTGCGCACCTTGCATTTTGGATCCCCCAGCAACTGGCAAAGCTCTTCCAGCTTTTCAATTTCTTCCTGACGTATTTCCAAGTCTTCAATGCTGCTTCCCAAAAGGCACCTCCATGGCAGCTCCGACTCACATGACAAAGCTTTCAGAGACTTGCAGCTGGTGATAGCTTTCCAAAAGGGCTCCCCATTCGTGATTTTGCAGCTCCATATACCCAAATGCTCCAGTTGGCTCTTCTCTATGCCCTCGGCAAACTCCAACGGTAACTCTGTCCTGCTACCCCATATTTTCAAATGGCGCAGCTTACAATGTGGACTTGAGAGAGCTGACCACAGACTGCTGTCACAGACCATTCCTCCTCCCTCGTTGAACCAATCAAGGTCAAGGTTGAGCTTGATCAGCTTGCAATTGGGATTTTGTAGCGCTCTGCCCAACCATCCACCACCATCACCTGGATAAAGTCTAACGCAGAGTTCCTCCAAGCCACACTTAGCGCTGCACAGGGCCTCACCCAGGCCCGTTGCATTGCTCAGGTCCTCACTCTGTCTCATTTCTCGGCAATCTAAAACTGACAGGCTGGTGCCCTCCTGAAGAGCCTTGCATACCCATGGCAACACTCCAGCATCAGTACCCCAAAATAGGTATAGTCTTTGCAGCGAACAGTTTGGACTCGTGAGTGCCTTGAAGAGTGCTTCACCTGCCTCCTCTGGAAACGAATATGCCTCCAGTGCCACTAGCTTATTGAAAATGCCATTCTGAAATGCCTGTTCCCACCCTTCCTTGTCAATGTCCTTATCTTCGATGACTAACTCTTCCACCTTGCACTCCTGACTTGCCAGATCCCTACTCAATTTCCCAAATCCTTCCACTGTCATCCTGTTCCCCCGCAATTCGAGACGTTTCAAGTTGTTTCCTGCTTTCCTAAGGAGTTGGCTAAGGAGAGTCTCTGGGTTCCCAACCTTGTCCAACCAGAGCTCTGTCAAGCAGTCGAGCTGAGCAAAGGCCAACTCAAGCTCCTGAGGTGGTGTGAGGATGTCTTTGCCTCCCCAACGGAAATCTAGGCCTTTCAAGACTTTGAATTCCTCTGTCATCATCAGTAGCTTTGCAAACCTCTGCACCTCAATCTGGCCAATGTCCTGTCCCTGCTGAGGAGGAGCAATGCCCTCTGCCACCCTTTGCATCCGATCACTGGGAATGCCCAACCTACAAGCGACCCTGGCAGCGAAGTTGATGAATCTGATGTCGAGCTGTGGTACCAAAGCGGCCTTGAGAATGTCAATGTGAGCAGCAGCAGCAGACGAACTGCCATCACCAGGAGCATCTCCCACATCCAGAGCCACGTCTAAACTGGGTGGATTTGAAATGCACCAGTTGAGCACACAAATCAGATCCTCCTCTGTGCCTCCAAACCTCTCGACGGCAGCATTCACCTTATCAACAAACTCACCTTTGGATGGGACAAGCTCCCACATGTGCCCACAAGGAAACGCAATCGCATTGAAGTGCCGCTTGTTGTCCCGCTTCGCTGCGAGAGCCTCCTTGATCTCCTTGACAGAGAAACAGTAGATCCACTCTCGTCGCTCCTCCTCCATGGAAGTTTGCCCTGGATCGAAGGGGCAGTGGAGAGCACGAGTAAACTTGTAAAAGTGAACCTTGCCAGCAGTGGAAGCAAAGCACTAAAGCAAAGCATATGCCAGCTGTGGAAGAAAAGCAAAGCATATGCCAGCTGTGGAAGAAAAGCAAAGCATATGCCAGCTGTAAAAGCAAAGCCAAGTGGACAGTACAAGCAAGAGTTAATTTAGGTTTTAGGGTTCTTCGAGCAAGACGGCCAAGCGAGATCATCGCGACGAGAAGAAGGTGTGGGACGAGGATGATATTGATGCGATCTAGGTAAGCAAAGCTCTGGCCAAAGACTCTCAATCGTTTTCCTTTTTGTCAGGCTAAACTCCACGAGGAGAAAGCAAAGAAGAGCGAAATTCATGTCGATGAGAATGTAGCAGCTCCTTCACCACAATGCAATTGCTCTGTGCGTAAGAACTCGATTGAAATCTCCACTCTGGAAGCTCACATTCTCTAGAATTCTTCTTTCCTTGCGTTTCAGGTGACTGTAAATCCCGTCAAGGACACTGCGCTGATCGTCCATGGAGGTGAATACCAACAATGGTGACAAGGTTTGTGATTAGTTTTGCTACGGTGATTTAATCTTCGTGTTTGCTATGCTAGACTTACGTTTATGGCGATCTCTACCGATACAACATCGAGAAGAACGAGTGGAAGCCTGTCACCGAGAAGCGCTCACCAGGCGGTTGCGTGGAAAAACTGGCTCTTCATGTTTGGTATGATGTATTTTTCCAGGACTTCTCTTGATTTTGGCAGTGTAGGTGGTGAATTTGGTTTCATCACTATAAGGTGTGTTTCTAGCTGACTTACAAGAGAGTTCTTGCAGGATTTATGGAGACTGGATTTAAACACAAATATCTGGCGGGAGCAGCTTCAACTAAAAGGCTGTCCAGGTGCTCGTTCCGGACATAGATTGGTATGTATTGCGCTTCTAAACATAATCTTTATTTTTTTCTTTCTTGCCACAGAAACATAAACTTATTCTATTTGGTGGATTTTATGACACGCTGAGGGAAGAAAGGTCGGCTGTTTCAGCAGTGTAGATGTTTAGTATTGAATTTTTGACACAGGTACTTCAATAATCTTTAAGTGCTGGATTTAGACGATTATAAGGTTTGTTTCTGTCGCTCATCGTTCTTCCTTGTTTTTTAACAACTAAACTGATTTCCTTTTGCAGTGGCAAGAGATAAAACCCAAGCTTGGAGCTGCCTGGCCTTCAGCTGGAGCTGGTTCTCAGCTTGCTGTTTATTTAGATGAGGTATTTGTCTACTAAAAGTATAGTTTTGCGTGTTGTGAACATTTTTTCTTTTCTAGATTTTCTTGTACGGTGGCTATTTCAAAGAGCCTGCCCCTGACAAAGATCAATCCGACAAAGGTGTAGTGCTCGCAGATATGTGGACGTTAGATCCACGGATTGGGAGTGGGACAAGGTTTGCTTGTTTTACATTCTCGTTTGGAGTTTTAGTTTTTCAATGTGTTTTGTGAAGGTGAAAAAATCCGGTGTGGCTCCTGGCCAAGAGCAGGGTTTTTGTCCACATCTTGTTTGGCGGTGTAGTTGATGCTGATGAGTACGGTTTCAATGCATGCGTTGGAAAAACTAATGTCTTTTGCAGGTGATTCCCTGCACAGCGTTTTTATGATCGAGATGTATATGCTTTCCAGATGGTTTGTATCTCGTCGATTTTTTAAAAATTATCTAAACACCATCGCTCGCAGGTATCCTTTGGAACTTCTCAAGCCAAAGAGCCTAAAGATTAAGGTATGGCAATCTGAGATTGTGTAGTGGTTAAGTGTGCATCCAAAGCAGAAGAAAGTGGTTGATCCAAATGTGGAAAATGCGTCTCAACGTTGAGCGTTCTGCTTGAAGGTTGTTGCCTTGTGGAAGAATGAATGCTGGAATGGTCGTTGGAAAGGATACTTTGTTTCTGTATGGAGGTATGAAAGAAGTCGGCAAAAAAAAAGTGACACGACGACCTTTCCTCGCTGGACCTTCGATGTGTGGAAGTGCATTATTGAGGTTAGTATGATCGAGCCATCATCCAGCCTCATACTAATGTCTCAAGCAGGAAACACAAAGCGCGTGGATTGAAGCTAGTAAGGAGAAAGGCGAAACTGATGGTGACAACAGTGATGCTGGATCGATTAATAAAGGAAAAGACGAAGAGGACGATGACGAGGTAGTAAAAAAGAAGGATGTAAGAAAACTTGTCGGTTTCCTTTTGTATTCTAGGATGCAGTGGAGTCACTGTGAAGAGGCAGCTGCTATTCTTAGGGGCGAAGGCAAAAAGCTGACACAGAAAGCACGGAAATTAAAGGTCGATCCGAGCTGGGCATGGCTGATTCCCAACAAACACTTTTGGTGAGTGCTGATAGTAGTTCATCTTCCTGTTTTGTTATTGATTTGTCTTTCAGCCTGGAGAAACGCTGAGAGATTTTTTCTCTTGGACGATCATGTATTGGCAAATGGCACCTTACGATCACACCCAACACACTGGAAAGGTGACAACGCAGGTTTTCTTTCGCTCGTTCTTCATGCTCTATGCATCTATCAGGAGCTCAGGAAGGATGGATTTGACTTGGCAAAGACACGCTACAGACAACTTAAACCCGTCCTTGACAAGGTAAAGTGGTGTCTCAAGAAGGAATCCTCACAACAGCATTGTTTGATTTGCAGCTGGCGAGACTTGAAGCCGACTACAACGCTGAAGAGGAGGCTACCAAACCTTCCAAAGAGCGCAGCAAGAAGAAACGATAAGGTCCGTGATCTCTGAAAGTTCTAGCTGAAAATTAAATGAATAGATTACAATTATTCCCAGAGGTATGGTGAGTGCTCTCCTTTTCTAGAGGCAATGCCATTGACATGAAACAACTAGTATACAATCTCTGCGTCCCATCATCAATGGTGATAGAATTTTGCCTTTGCTCTTCTGAAATCTTGGATTTCTTGGAGGCCGGTTCAAGGCACTTTGGCGTCTGAGCTGCAGCCTTGGTTTCTGTCGACCGCAGTGCTGCTGGAGCAGCCTCCTTTGGCTCCTTCTTGCACTGCTGGTTCACCTCAACCTTTTGCTGGAACTGAAACATGTTTTTCAAGTTCTTGGCTTGTGCTTCGATTTGGAGCTGGAGAAAAGAACAGGACCCAGAGTTTTACACCGGAAAGAAAAAAGAGAAAACGTTACCTCCAGCTGTGCGTGTAGTTGCTTCTGTACTTCTAGTGTCCTGCCAGAGAAAGAAATAAGGAACAAGTACTAAATAAGAAAGAAATTTCCTCAAAGAACTTACGCGTCAAAGTTAGGAGCAGTGTTTCTCTTCTTGGTTTTGCTGAAACGCATGAACTATTAATGTCACGCCATAATTTGGTATGTCCTTTAGGAGGCAAAAGCTTGAATCTTTGGAGTGAAAGCTTCTCCTTCCATTTTCGAAAGCTTATTGAGAGACGCAGAATACAAACCTCTCCGTTGCTACTGAGAGTTTGATCCCTGTCGTTCCGACCTGTGCCCGTATTCCTGGCTCTTTCCTGGAGAGCTTGTCTTCCGCGGCTATTTGAAAAGCTCGCGCTTGAGTGTGTCTTATTCTCGCTTTTGATCCTGATGTCACCCTGTTCTACACCATGAATGAATGAGTATAAATGCGTAAACATACCCTCGTCTTGTCGCAAATGTCGATCATAGGTGGAATGTACACGCGTGCGTTTGGATCCACATGCCATTCCATTAAGTGTAGAACTGGCTCCTTTTCAACGCGTTGTAAGTCGACCTCGACCATGGATCGTCGCACTACGGGCTCCATCACTGAGTGCGCATTTGTCTCGTTTTTCAATCTCAGCAAACCTGGAATATATTTGGTTACCTGGACGATGACTCGTCCCTGCTTATTTTTCGCCAATCGTTGGTTGTGCGTTCTACATTAGGACCAAAGGCCTTCCCGCATAACCATCAAGCCACGTTTCGTGGATTCGTAATACACTCGCATAAGGCATGCCATCCTGTAAGAGAAGCAAAGCTGAATAACTCCACCAAAACAAAGCCATAAGAACGCCACCTTATATTGAAACACGGCAGTTGTCAAGCGACGATTCAGCTCTTCGTCTGGAATGCACCAGCAAAAGAATAATGCATATGACTCAGAGAGAAGAACTTAACGTACCAGTTCGCTGCCACTTATCAAACTTGACAACCACCCACATCTGTGAATACCGTGGACGTAGAATCTCAACGCTTCTACGAAGATTGTCTTCTAGTCCCCACAGAGTGACCAGCCTTGAGTCAGGGGCCTGCCAGCCATTTTGTTGCTCAAGCATCCAAAACTACTAAACACGAGGAACTTACCATTGGCCTTTTCAAGTGCTCAATCACCCCGTGGGAGCTTTCAACCTCGCCTCATAACCATCTCACACAGTAGCACCACTTCACGTACCCTCCAGCAGTGAGCTGGCTCAGTAGGCCGGCATCCCTGGGCGAAACACAAGGATTAAACTTGAACTTGTAAGATTCCCGAAGCGCATCTTTCAGTGCCACGAAAGATCTTGGGATTGTCTTTGGCATTATCAAGGTACCACTGCGTAAGATCTTCAAACGCATTCCCAACCTGAGATCGTCCGTGAGTGAGTGAGTGATCAATCGACTTCAAGAACTTACGATCACTCCAAAAACGTCTTTGACGGCAAAGCGACAAGAACTTTCTGAGGAGCTCTGCCTTCCCTCATGAGCTGTCCCTTGTCAGCTGCTCAAGGGAGAACATCCATATCCTGTCCTCCGCTGTATGTGATTTTTACATCCAACTGGAAGAACAAAAAGAAAAAGGATTAGATCACAAAAGCTTCGAACGATCCTCTAAAAACTTGGCCCACACTCGATCAATCTCTTCAACAGTGTCTCCACAACCCGAGGAGCCTCTGCCTTCTCCAGCTTGAAGCTGACTTTGTGAGGTTGCTGTTCTGTTTGTTCCTACAGGAAAAAAAAAAAAAAGAAGCCAGAGCACGAGATAGAGAAAAACGTTGTAAACACCATCAAAGAGAGGATATGGAATTTTTCTACCTGGATTGTAAGCTCTGGAAACTTGGAAGTCTCTTCCAAACAGCCCTATCCCACCCCTTGTCTAGTTCTTGCTCTCATCCAGAATCTGGAACTATGGCATCGCCGTACATAATCTCCGTCCCCACAGACAAGATCGTGACCTCCGGCGTGAGCAACGGCCTCTCCCGCCTCAGCAGGCGATACCTCGTCGGCGATCTTCCAGTCGAGAACACCAGAAGCGAGTCATGGAAATAATCCGCGGCCCAGAGCGCATTGAAGAAGAAACAAGCGGCATTGCGATGCGTACCATTGTTCCATCGAGATCGGAGACGATCGCGAGCCCCCTACAAAACGCCTTCTTCGAAGGCGATCGATCTGGCGCGGCTGGGTACCTGGGCAATGCGCGGTAGCCGGGCAATGCGCGAGCATTCAAATCTTGCCGCCATTCATAAACCCTACCCTCCATTACAAATGAAGGAAAACCCTAGTGAATTTTCTCCTTTAGCTAATCTACAAGAACCCTAAAAGCATATGCATAGTATCCCACGAATCTTTTGAGATTTTTCTCTAGTTTCCAACTTGTCTCCCCAATCTCGTAGCCTCTTAGAAACGCACGAAGAGGACCACTCTCTCATTCAGCGATACCGCCGAATCGTAAAAGGGATCTTCCCTTCACATAGAAATCTGCAAAAAACATTCAAGAGTCGCTCCACACAAATTCCTTTTCAGAGTTTCTATACCTCGAATGGATCTGTCTCACCCTCCAGTTCCGCCATCACTGGAGCGTTCATACTGTTGTTGTTCAATCACGAAAGAAAAACAACTTAAGAGTTCTCACTAGCAAGACCAAGAAGCCCATGTCCCAAGCACGCGAGCTCTCTCATACTTGGTCAAATTCCAGTGCTTCCTCATTGTTTTCTTGCTCTTCAACCTCTTCCTGGAAGAGCAATCCAAGGCACAAAATTGCTGCTTGAAATGGAGCAGAACAATATTACCTCGGGCTCCACAGGCTCATCGTAATCGCAATACACAGCATTAGACGATGGAAGGGCAGAACTGACTCCTCGCTGCCACCATCAAAATCGTTGTAATCGCTGTCCACCATCTCCAAAATCTTGGCTAGCAGTGAATATGGCATGGAGGTCTGTGGTTTAATTTTCATGACGCTAGTGAAATAAGTTAGTTAAAGGATGTGAAAATGATAATTTTTAATTAATATTTTGATAAATAATATTATAATAATGCATACTTATCATAAATAAGACTATTAATTATAGTATTATCTTTTTGAAATTAAAGCTGAAGATAACCACAACCTGCAACAGAAACATTCAAAATTAGCATCAATCACTAAAATTAATATGTTTTAAAAATATTAAGCTTACAAATTGAAACTGTGAAGTAAATATAATCTCCAGGGAAATACTCTTAAAATTTATTTATTTTAACAACAAAAATTGAAAATGTTAGCAAAATATTTATAACAAACTCATATAAAATGACATAAATATGGTGAATATTTACACTCTTAAAACTATATATGAAATTTACAAAAAACATTTGGTAGTATCATAGTTCTAAAGGGAAAACTTTATGTAGATATTAATAGTTATTCTCATGTTACACAAAAATTATTATTAGAAATTGTTTCTTCTGAAATGCTGAAATTGATTTTAGAGCTGATGGAAGGCCAAAATTATCTAGCTTAATGGAGGTACGTTCATAGTTTTTATCAGAAAAACATATAATATGGAGTTTTATTTACACACAATAAATTTAGAAAAAAAAAAGACAAATAGTCAATTTTGTTTATAAATATAACTTATATTTTCTCAAAATTAATTTAGTCCAAGACATTAATCTTTACTATTAAAAATAAATGATAGATAATTAGAGGTTTGTGACTTTTAAATTATCACTACTCACACAATTAGGAATTCCAAGCTATCAATGGTGGCAATAAATTTTCCATGGTGTAGTTTTTAGTCCAAGAGTCTAATTTGGCAATCTTACTCTAGCTATTACAATCTTTCCACTATTGATACCCATTGTGGCTTCATTTAACTCCACATTCTTTTACTTTCAATGAAATGGTATAGTCTTGTCTCTTTCTTCCTTTCACCTTCTTTTTTTATTTTTCACTATGTAGTGAGAGAAATGCTTTCACTTGTAAGTTTCTCGCAAGTGAATGAATAAAACTTGATTAACTTTTACAACTTGCTGCCCAAGTGAGTAATATAATATGCTCTTACAACCAAGTGAATAGTGTTTTGATTTGTGTTAATCAAAGTTTGCTCACAAATTTAATGCAATATAGGTGGGGATGTAATAAGTTTGTTCTTCTTTCTCTTCAAGAAAAATCACTCTTTTACTTCTTGTTAAATATATAGTTTTTGATTGTGATGCTCTTCACTTTTTTTTAAAGGCGCAACATATGCTCCTTTAGCCAAAGATGTAGTTGTTGATTCCATGTCATAGGTAAAAGTTTGATAATTAAGATTGTTGCAAGTCTTTGGACCAACTTCTAAACTTTTACCAAGTTTATCTTAAACCAATAAGTTTGAAGATTTTTCTTGACAAACATGAGAAATCAACACTTCAAGCTGGAAAGATCACCAAGGCCAACCTTGACTAAATAGCCATTGTTTTTTAGGAGGATAATTCCTTGCCCCAAAGTGGTTGATAGTGATGTTAGTTTACTTGTAAATACTAATAGTATAGTAGCTTTGACTCAATGTTCAAAATGATCCATTATATATTAAGATAGCATTAGTATCTTGGTTCCTTGAGAATTTGCCCATTGGGTATTGGAAAAGTTTTAATGTTCATTTGCTATAATTTGTTGGTTATCCATTAACACTTAGAGTAAATTGTTAAATGGAGAAAGTTGTAAATAACTAAATTTTCCTTTCTACTTTAGTCACTTAATCACACTTTTGCCTATTTGAAAGAGTCTTGCTCACAACCTCTATGAGTCTTATTTCTAACTTGGGACATACTAACCCCATGAATGACATCTATACCATTTAGCTTTTGCACTTGGTCCAAGTGGTCCACATGTTTGATCCTATGACCGACACCCAAAGGTATCACCAACATATCAGCATATTACACTAATTCACCCTTATTACATCGAGTACAAAACTATTTGCATCATAGTCTCATCTCTCAAAGACTACCCTTGACCACACTTTATCACCCCTAAGATGCTTGGAGACATAAGGAACACCCTTCCCCAATATCGCTTCTTCCATCCCCACCAAGTCCTTCTTCATCCATAGCTGCACTCGCCAACACCACCACTAGATCAAGGCCTAAAGGCCCGATTACTAAGTCCCACTATCTTCTGGGACTTCTTCACCATATAACTATATCTTTGATGACTTACACTAGAGGATTGCTCCTCTTCTTTTTCATAGTTTGGGATTTCGAAACAACATTTCAAAACACCATAACCTTACACGAGCCTTGTGGGTACCGTCCCCACCTTCCGCCTTTAGGCACCCTAGCCATGTGGCTAGAGTGAGGTTTCAATAAGTCATGCTAGGTATCCAAATAGGTAGTGACACCCACACTTGGATTGGGAGCATCGACCATTCAATCTCCTGGAAGAGCTAGAGTCGGTTCTTGAACATTTCACCAAATTGCCCCATTTGTCTATCTGTATTTACTTTAACCTTAGACTCTTCAGTAGTTTTATCATCACCCACCACGTGGGTATAGCCTTTCTTGGTCACACTAGTCTTTCCTATTTGAGTCCTCCCCCTACTATACTTTTGGACCTCACCAAACCCCCTAAGGTCTAGGAAACAAACGCTTTAGGCTTTTACCCTCAGACTCAAACTCGGTCTCAGTCTTAGTATCAATCTCGGTCTCAGCCTCGGTCTCAATCTTGGTTCCGGCCTCGGTCTCGGTCTTGACCTCAGACTCCATCTTGAACTCCATCTTGGACTCCATCTCAGGTCCATCTCGGATTCCATCTCGAGTCCATCTCAGACTCC